TTTTTTTTTTTTTACATGGAACGTGTGGATACAGAGGGATGATTGTATTGCCCCATAAAATGTACACCATTTTGCTTGTCTATCCATCCATTATGGACACTTGGTTTGCTCTCATGGGTCAGCCATTGTGAATGATGCAGCTACAGTTGTGGGTGTACAGTGGACCTTGAGCCTTGTCTTGAATCTCGTTAAGCTTGTTTTCTCATCTGTAAAATGAGAAGAGCCATCTCAGTGGTTGGAGAGAGAAGTGAGCTATGGCATGCTGGATGCTCCTGTGCTTGGGAAAAGGGTTTTTGGTCCTTGGTTGACACTTTGTGGAGCTTGGCTTCCTTTGCCACCCTGCCTGAGCATCATGTAGCTGCTCCTTGATCCTGAGCTTGGTCCCTCTTGCTCCAGCCCCCAGTCCCTGAGAAGCGGCCCCCAGAAGTGCAGCATTTCCGCATGAGTGATGATGTGCATTCGCTGGGGAAGGTAACTTCAGGTCAGTCCCACTCTCCACTCCCCGTAGACTCCTGTGGCCTGTCCTGGGGTTAGAATACAGTCCTTCTTTCTCTCCTTCCAGAGGTGGCCAAAAGGAGGAAGCTGAACTCTGCAGGTGGCCTGGTAAGCCAAAGGGGCAAGGCCTGCCCATGGGGTGGGGGGATGCTGCTCCAGGGGATCCTAGCCGCTAGGACTACATGCTGTTCTTGAAAAACTGGGAAACTGCCAGAAGCCGCCAGTTTTCTGTCTTCTTCCAGTCAGAGGAGTTGAATTCTGCAAGGGGTTCCGGAGAAGTGTCCCTGGACAAGGGGCACCCCAGGTCCCTAGAGGAGTGGGAAACAGTGGTAGGCGATGACTTCAGTCTCTACTATGACTCCTACTCTGTGGATGAACGCGTGGATTCTGACAGTAAGGTGAGCTGGGGCCCCAGATGCAATTCCCTCTAGTCTTTACAGTTTCCCCCTCCTCTCCTCCCCTCTCCTCCCTTTTTCTTTTCTTTTGTGGGTCCTCGGGCTTGAACTCCAGGCCTGGGCACTGCCCCAGAGCTTCTTTTGCTCAGGGCTAGCACTCTACCACTTGAGCCACAGTGCCACTTCTAGCTTTTTCTATGTGGTACTGAGGAATCAAACCCAGGGCTTCATGCATGCTAGACAAGCACTCTACTAAGCCACATTCCCAGCCCCTCCCCCTCTATTTCTTTCCTTGTCTTGTGAACACTCGCTGATTCATTCACTGCCCCATGTAATCTACAAGTGTTTCCAGTGTGTGCTCCAACCATTCCAGCCCTCCCCCTTCTCCACCAGGGCAGCCACCATTCTTCACTTCTGTTTGCAGCCATCTTATGGTTGTTTTTTGTTTAGGGGGTTGATATTTGTTTTTTTTTTGTTATATTTTGGGGGGGGGTCATGGGGTCTGAACTCTGGGCCTGGGCGCTGTCCCTCAGCTCTTCAGCTCACGGCTAGCATTCTACCACTTGAGCCACAGTGCCACTTTGGCTTTTTTCTTTCTGCTTATGTGGTGCTGAGGAATCGAACCCAGGGCCTCATGCATGCAAGACAAGCGCTCTGCCACTGAGCCACCTTCCCAGCCCCTTGTGTGTGTGTGTGTGTGTGTGTGTGTGTGTACTAGAGCTTGAACATGGCTTCCAGCGCTTGCTCAGCTTTTTGACTCATTGCTAGCACTGTAACACTTGAACCATACCTCCAATCCAGCTTTTTCACTGGTTAATTGGAGATAGTCTTTTGGACTTTTTTCTTAACTGGCTTCAAACTACAGTCCTCAGATCTCAGCCTCCTTAGTAGCTAGGATTATAGCTATGAGCCAGAAGCACCCAATTTTGTTTTGTTCTGTTGTATATGTTTGCCCATACAACCTAGTTTTGCTCTTTTGCTTCTTTTTCCTTAGGTGGTACTGGAACTCAGGGCCTTGTACTATCTAGGCAAACACTCTACCACGTGAACCATACCCCCAGCCCTGTTCGGTTTGTTTTAAGGATAAGGTTTTGTGTATACGCTAGCTGCCCTGGACCTTGATCATCCCAAATAGATAAGGGTGTGAGGTCAACCTCTTCTGTTGATTGAGATGGGAGTTGCACTAAAATTTTCCTTAGTCCGACCTCAAACAACCATCTTCCCAATCTCTGCCTCTTCTTTAGTTGAGATTATAGACATGCACTGCCATACCTGCTTTATTTCCCTTTTGTGTTTTGTTTGTAGGATGCTGAGTCTATGTTGCTGAGGCTGGTCATGCACCCTAGGCTCAAGTGATCCTTCCTCTCAGCCTCTGGGGTTGCTGGGACTATAGGCACATGCCACCATGTCTTTAATGATTTAGTAATTCCATAATATCATCAGATATTCTGTCAGTTTTCACATTTCCTCAGTATTTCAAATGGGACACACACACTCACACACTCTCTCTCCCTCTCTCTCTCTGATTTGATTGATTGATAGTTGCCTTACCTAAAAATCTTTATGTAGATTTCCTTACCTAAAAAACATCCTCATGGGCTGGGGCACCCAGTGCCCCAAGTGTGTGTTCGGGCCTGCATTCCTAGCTATTCTGGAGGTTGAGATCTGGAGATCTTGGTTAGAAGCCAGCCTGGGAAGACAATCCGAGAGACTGGGTACAAAAGTCTGTGAAACTGTTATCTCTAATTAACCACCAAAAAGCTAGAAGTGGAGCAGTGGCTTAAGTAGTAAGTAGAGTGCCAGCCTGAACAGAAAAGCCTCCAGGCCCTGAGTTCAAGTCCTAAGACTAGTACCAAAACAAAACAAAAAACACCTCACAATTTGCTTGTTAAAGAAACCAAGTCAGCTGCGTGGCTGTAATCCTAGCTACTCCGGAGGCTGAGATCTGAGGATCAAAGCCAGCCCTGGCAAGAAAGTCTGTGAGACCCTTACCCCAATTAACTACCAGAAAACTGGAAGTGGCACTGTGGCTCAAGTGGTAGAGCACTAGCCTTGAGCTGAAGAACTGAGAGACAGCGCCCAGGCCCCAAGTTCAAGACTCATGACTGACAAAAACAAAAAAAAGGGGCTGGAAAGGTGGCTCAGTGGTAGAGTGCTTGCCTTGCATGCCTGAGGCCCTGGGTTCGATTCCTCAGCACCACATAAGCAAAAAGAAAAAAGCCGGAAGTG